ATCTTTGCCAATCAGTTGGCCAGAAAGTTGTCTTCCAAATTTCTTGGCAGAGATGAGTGAGTGCCTCCTGTGCCACCTCACTTTCTTGAAATATTTCAATTTTTATTCCATCAATTCCTGGTGCCTTGTTCTTTGCCAATTCCTTCAATTCACCGTGGACATCTTCCTTCAATATCATTGGCTCTTAATCATATGCTACCTCTTGAAATGGTTGAACATCAACCATTTCCTTTTGGTACAGTGACTCTGTGTATTCCTTTCATCTTCTTTTGGTGCTTTCTGCATCGTTCAATTATTTGCCCAGAGAATCCTTCAATAAAAAAGTTGTTTTTTTTCTTCAGTTCCCCTAGCTTGAGAAATGCTGAGCATGGTCTTCCCTTTTGGTTTTCTGATTCTAGATCTTTGCACATTTCGTTGTAATATTTGATTTTGTCTTCTCAAGCTGACCTGTGAAATTTTCTGTTTGGTTTTTGTACCTCTTCATTTCTTCCATCTCCTATGCTGGAGAGCAAGTTTCAATGTCTCTTCTGACATCCATTTTGATATTTTCCTTCTTTCTTGTCTTCTTGGTGACTTTTTGCTTTCTTCCTGTATGATGTTCTTGATGTCATCCCACAACTCTTCTGGTCTTCGGTCTTTAGTGTTTAATGTATCATATCTTTTCTTCAGATGATCTCTAGATTTAGGTGGGTTATATTTTAGGTCATATTTTCGCTCCGTGGACTTGTTTTCATTTTCTTCAGCTTCAGTTTGAATTTGCATGTGAGCAATTGATGGTCTGTTCTGCAATCTGTCCCTGGCCTTGTTTTGACCGATGATATGGAGCTTTTCCATCATCTCTTTCCACAGGTGTAGTCAATTTGATTTCTGTGTATTCCATCTGGTGAGGTCCATGTGTATAATCATCTGTTATGCTGTATATTCCATCTGGTGAGGTTCGTGTGTATAATTATCACTTTTGGAGGCCAGGATGGCCAAATTTCAGCTATCATACTTTGGACATATTGTCAGGTGGGACCATTCTCTGGAGAAGGATATCATGTTTGGTAAGGTGGAGGGTCAGAGAAAAAGAGGAAGACCCCCAGCGAGATGGATTGGCAAAGTGACAGCATCAATGTGCTCAAGCGTGGCAACAATTGTGAGGTTGGCCCAGGACGGGGCAGTATTTCATTCTGCTGTGCATAAGGTCACTAAGAGTCAGTACCGTCTCAATGGCACCTAACAACAACAACAACATGCTGTCTAAAGAAGGTATTTGAAATAAACAAACCATTGATTTTGCAGAATTCTATCATGTGATCTCCAGCATCATTTCTAGCACCAAGGCCATATTTTCCAATTACTGATCCTTCTTCTTTGTTTTCAACCTTTGCATTCCAATCGACACTGATTATCGATATATCTTTATTGCATGTTTGATCATTTCAGATTGAAGAAGTTGGTAGAATTCTTCTATTTCATCCTCACTGGCTTTAGTGGTTGGTGCGTAAATTTGATTAATAGTGGTATTGACTTGTCTTCCCTGTAGGCGCATGGATATTATCCTATGTCAGACAGCGTTGTACCTCATGACTGATCTGGATGTGTTCTTTTTGATGATAAGTGCAACACCACTCCTCTTCAATGTGTCATTCCCGGCATTGTTAGCCATGTGGTTGTCAGATTCAAAATGGCCAATACCAGTCCATTTTGATAATGCCTAAGATGTGTTTCATTTCATTTTTGACAATTTCCAATTTTCCTAGATTCATACTTCATGCATTCCATGTTCTGATTATTAATGAATGTTTACAGCAGTTTCTCTTCATTTTGAATTGTGCCCCATCAGTAAATGAAGGTCCCATGGGCTTTTCTCCCACGGGCTTTACTTCATTTGCGTCATCACAGTCAGCTCTACTTTGAGGAGGCAGCTCTTCCCCAGTTGCATTTTGAGTGCCTTCCAACCTGAGGGGCTCATTTTCTGGCACTATATCTGACAGTGTTTCTCTGCTATTCAAAGGTTTTCAGAGACTATTCGAAAGTAGTTCGTTATTCCTTCTTCCTAGTCTGTCTTTGTCTGAAAGCTCCTCTGAAACCTGTCTACCATGGGTGACCCTGCTGGTATTTAAAATAACCATGGCATAGTTTCCAGAATCACAGTAACACACAAGCCACCACAGTACGACAAACTGACAGACAAGTGGTGGTTTGCCATCCTACCGGGCATAAAATCAGCCATCTCAGAAGCAGAAGGTAGCGGTGGCAGATCTTACCACCATCAAAGAAGATGAGAAAGGAGTGGAGTACTTCGTTTGTACGCTGAGATCACTGCATACTGAACCTCCTCAACCCAGAGACAGAAAGCTGTGACAGCAGAGGAGTGACAAAGCAGCAGCAGCAGCTGAGTGGTCTTCCCAGCCTACAGAGAAACTGAGTGTCTTTGGGCAGGAGGCTTGCTTGCAGAGTGGGGTGCCTCCAGGCACATAATTGTTGTTGTTGTGTGCCATGGAGTAGGTTCCGACTCATAGCGACCCTGTACAGGGTTTCCAAGGCTGTAAATCTTTGCTGAAGCAGAAAGCCTCTTCTTTCTCCCATGGAACCAATGGTAGTTTCAAACTGCTGACCTTAAGGTTCGCAGCCTGAAACATAACCACTACGCTACCAGAGTTCCTTAGGCACTTAATTGGGGGAGCTGTATTTGCTCACCCACCAATCTAGAGCTGAGTGCCTTCAGACTGAGGCTTATGGTGGAATGATGTGCCCTATGAGTATTTGTCAGCATCCCTAAAAGAACCTTAATACTGCCCAAACAAAGAGAGGCTTGCCTGTGGGCATAGCTGAGGAGAGCTGCTCTGACTTGAAGAATTGTTCCCTGGGACCTGTCAACTTGTACAAGTTCTGTGTGGCCATTGTGATGGATTATCAAACCCAACTGAGTGGAGCGGGCTGTGGGAGGGATGGTTGATGCCATATTTTTTGGCAAATAGAGTTTTCGTTAGTTGATTTTAGAAAGGAGATTGCCAGGACTTTCTTCCTAGTCTGTCTTACTCTGGAAGCTCTGCTGAGACCTGTTTATCAACATAGCAAAATGCAAGCCTCCATTATTGACAGACAGATGGCGGCTGCTCATGAGGTGGGTGCACTGGCTGGGAATCAAACCCAGATCTCCTACATGGAAGGCTAGAATTCTACGGCAGAGGCACCACTGACTTCATTAGGTGGAACTGTTGTTGTTAAGTGCCGTAGAGTTGGTTCCAACCCATAGCAACCCTGTATAGGGTTTCCAAGGAGAAGCTTGTGCAGTTCAAATGGCTTTGCAGTACGGCATATTAACCGACAGAGCCACACCAGGGCTTCCTATGGAATGAAATCTCCCTGTTCTTCCAGGAAGTCTAAATTCTATCGAGCTAGATATTTGACCTTCGACTGTTTATGACCATGGTTCATTGGGGTGGGACAAGAGATGCCAAGGCCTTCCTATTCTCCCGGGTTTCAGGACTAGCAGTGAATTGGACCGATCATGACCATGGGATGTGGATTATCCTTGAAGATACTTGTGTTAGATGATCTGAAAGTTATATTCTTTGTAATTGTCTTTTTTCTTTCTCCTCAGCCTCCTCTTCAAGATGAAAGACATTTGCTAAATTGTCTTTGACATTTGGATGCCATGTCCTCGGCTTTCATGAAGAGCAGATAGAAGAAATGGTTATGGGAAGAATATTTTGACAAATTGTGGTGCTGTGGGCTAATACGTCAGACTGCAAAGTCATTTGAACTGCAAGGTCAGTGGTTCAAACTCACCAGCTGCTCCTTGGAAACCCTATACAAGTTCGTTATGGGTCAGAATCGATTTGATGGCACTTAAAAGCAGCAACAAACAATGACGAATGCATTGTCTGTTACATTTTCTCTTTATTTAAGAACTGTCACAACATATTTCTTAAAAAATATAATATTCCCCAAATTATCTGGATAAAATAAGTTTTATCAATGAGAAACAGGTAATCTATTGTCAGCCAAGAAGCTTCGAATTAAGGGCAATGTTCAATTCTGATAACTGTCAGCCTTGGCTTTTCTACCTGCATTTATTTGTTTCCTGTTTGTATTTCAATGTTCTGCTGATAAGATATCTTTTCTTGAGATACTTAGGAAATCCTTTTAGGAAGTGTAGGTGAGTAATTTTAAAAGTATGCTTTTAAAACTCAAGTGGGATGATAAACATAAAGCTTTAGAATTATAAAAGTCTAAATGTTTTACTTTAAGGTGCAACATAATAAAGTGGTTAAAAGTCATACTTTTCTTTTTGCCAACACCAGTTACTTTTGAGTTGATTTCAACTAATGGCAAACTGTGTCACATGGGATTTTCAGGGGTTGATTTTTTTGGAAGTAGACAGCTAATCCCTTCTTCTGAGGTACTTCCGGGTGTTCAGTAAGCAGTCAGATGGTAACCACTGGCTCTCCCCAGGGACTCCAAAACTAAATAAAGTGGTTCAAATCCCCGACTTCTGACTTTGGACAAGGTCTTGAGTCTTTCTGACTCAGCGACTTCATCCATCAAACGAAGGAAATAAGAGTCCCTCCCGTAGAGAGCTATTTTGAGGAATAAATGTATAAATACACATGCAACACAGAGAACAGTGTCTGATACCTACGACTCATTACAAAAGGGTTTGCCCTTATTATCTCAGGGCTAATGCTAAACTCTACCAGTACATGGACTCCTGGTGTGACGCTGTAAGATCAGCACTGGTCTTCAAACTAAAAGGTAGGCAGTTCAAACCCACCAGCGGCTCTACGGAAACCCTATACAGGGGTGCTATGAGTTGGGAAATGACTCAACAGTACTTTAAAACAACAGTCAGTACATGATATGATAAAAAATGTTACGTTCTATTAACATTAAGAACTTCATCCATTTAGATGCAGCAAATAATACTCACCTACAGTAGCAGATGCTGAGGAGAGCAGGGATTTGCCCCAGGAGCCCCATCCTGCCCATGCTCCTCCACGCAAAGGGGTCTCCACCGCCTACAGAAAGCGAGAGCAACCACAAGGTCAGCCATTCAGTTCATCCCAGGATGGAAAAACACCCAGAGCTCTGAAATAAGGAGAAGGCTTTAAAAACAAAGCCACCAAACTTATCTCACTGGTTTTAGAATTTATAACAGCCATAAGGAATATCCTAACCCACACTGCGGTGTGCACTTTGGAACTAAACTACTTAGTCCTTGGCTTGATTTGATGTGAGAAAAGGAGTTTGTACTAACTGAGACCCAGTTCTCCCATTTTCTGGGGGTTGGGCACAAAAAAGACAGACAGAGTTCTGCTGTTGTTAAGCGCTGTCGAGTCGGTTCCGACCCATAGCAACCCTGTATAGGGTTTCCAAGGAGCAACTGGTGAGCTTGAACCACTGACCATGTGGCTCAAACAACTTTGCAGTCCAGCACATTATCCCACAGTGCCACCCACAACTCTAACAACAGAGCAGAACTGCCCAATTGGGTTTCCTAGCATAATGGTTACAAATCAGACTGTTAACCTCAAGGTCGGCAGTT